ATTGGACAACATACACCGTACCTTCTCTAGCAAGGTCTGGTTCATACGTTCTGCCACTCCATTTTGTTGTGCTGTATGTCTAACAGTGAAGTGTCGGACGATGCCGTCATTTTCACATACCTTATTGAAATGATCATTTTTGTATTCACCTCCATTGTCTGTGCGAATACACTTGATCCTCCTACCTGTCTGATTCTCCACCATCGTCTTCCATTTGAGAAAAATTCCCAACACTTCATCTTTGCTCTTCATTGTATACACCCATACTCTTCGGGAAAAATCATCAACAAAGGTTACAAAATAGTGCTTCCCACCCAATGAAGGTGTTTTGGAAGGACCCCAAACATCAGAGTGTACATAATCCAAAATGCCTTTAGTATTATGGATCGCTGTACCAAATTTAACCCTTGTCTGTTTCCCTTTGACACAATGCTCACAAAACTCCAAGTTGCAAGCCTTTACTCCTTTTAACAATCCTTGATCTGATAGAGTTTTCAAGGATTTTCCTCCAGCATGTCCCAAGCGCATGTGCCATAGCTTGGTTGCTTCTGCCTCTTTGTCGTCACTGGATGTCACTGTCGCTGTCCCAATAACTGTACTGCCACGATAGCGGTACATATTATTATTCTTCCGATTAGCCTTCATTACCACTAGTGCACCGGAGCATACTCTCATCACTCCATTTTCTGCAATGATTTTGAACCCTTTTGATTCTAGGGCTCCCACAGAGATGAGATTCTTCTTCAAATCCGGTACATATCGAACATCTATCAATGTTCTGATCATTCCATCATGGTTCCTTAATCGTATTGAACCAATGCCATATGAGGTAAGAGGGCTGTTATCCGCTGTGTGGATGACTCCATATTCTCCTTCTTGAAATTCCACGAACCAGTCCCTGTTGGGACACATATGATAGCTACAAGCCGAGTCCATCAACCATATGTCTGATGATGTTGATGACTCTGTTGTAACTAATGAGAAGTCTGAATCATCACAATCAGCTACATTTGAATCCATAATGGCCTTTCCATTGTTATGTTTGGCCTTATTCTTCAACTTCGGACAGTCTTTCTTCCAGTGCCCTTTTTCTCGACAAAAGGCACATTCATCTTTGCTGGGTCTGGATCTTGACTTGGATCTTCCCTTCTTTGTCCTCGTTTGATTTTGAGGACGACCCCTCACAAATAGTGCTTCTCCTTCTCCGCCCTTCTGTTTTTCTCGCTTTCTTTGTTCATAGCTGTACAAAGCCGAACAAACTTCTCTGAGAGAAACTTCGTCATTTCCATGGAGTAGAGTAGTTTCAAGGTGCTCGTACTCATCAGGAAGTGACGCCAACAACATCAAGGCCAAGTCACCATCATCATAAGTTGTATCCATATTTTGCAAATCTGTGACCAACTTATTGAAACTGGTGATATGTTCATTCATCGTGGTACCAGGAACATAGGTGAAGTGAAACAGTCTCTTCTTCATGTACAATTTATTTTGACTGTTTTTCTTCAAAAATTTATCCTCCAGTGCTTTCCATAATTTACTTGCAGAAGTTTCCTTTGTGTATGGATATTTCTGCTCTCTAGCAAGGTAGGATCGAATGGTACCGCAAGCAACACGGTTGATAATTCTCCAATCTTCTTCTCCAATAACATCTGGTTTCTTTTCTTCAATGGCCAGATCTAGCCCTTGTTGAAAAAGGACATCTAGAACCTCGCCTTGCCACATCCCAAAATGTCCGGACCCGTCAAATATTTCTACCGCAAATTTCGCATTTGACACAATTCTTGTCATAAGCGAAGATACCAATGATGACGTATTGTTGACACTTGATGTAGATTCTTCTTGTTTATTGTCTCCCATATTTGACACAAATATTATTTAATAGCTGACGACACAAATCAAGATTATTTCCTTTCTGATGTAGAAGATCAGACTAAGCTGCAACCACAGAGCATACTCAGACAGAACCTTGACTCAGTTACCAAGATAAATCTTTTCTGATGTGGAAGATCAGACTATGCTGCAACCACAGAGCATACTTAGACAGTACCTTGGCTCTGATACCAATTGTTGCGGAAGCCAAATGTATAGAGTGTGAATAAGTCACAACTACTATACCAAAATTTATGACAGCCACCAAATAATAAATAAGACAACAAAGCAACAATAAAGGGAACACCAGAATTTACGAGGTTCGGCTAATTTTGCCTACTCCTCGGACACAACCAATATTTTATTCCACTCCAAAAATACAAGTGAAATAATACTAAAGAGAGAAGATACAAATGCCTTAAACAGATGAGAAGGCAAATGAGAGGTGTGTTTAAATCCTAAACATTAAGCCTTCTTTTATAAGGGGAAAATCCCCCCAACCATTCTTTTCCCACCGATGTGGGACAAAAGATTTCTGCCAAACTTAACAGTTATATCGCCTTTTGACACCAAGGCTCCAACTATCAACTCCAGAGCAGCAAGATCTCCAATACTTGAATCTACGGCTTCAGTTTCAACTGGGTTCTTCCTTACAAAAATTGTAACGAAAGCATTCTCAACAGCTTCGTAAATTGCTTTGTCCTGTGAAAATACCTGTAGGTGTGGTGCTGCTATCGGTCAGAGTTCTGAGTAAAACTTGATTACTAACTAAACAAAATAAGAACCTGGAATAAGCATAATCTCAAACAGTATATAGATATCAGCGTTTGCACTAACTAGCAAAGTAAGAATTACCAGTGGCAAACATTTTCCGGAGGCAATCCTCTGAGTCATCTATTTGGAACTGTCTGCATCTCATCAATAGAAGAATTGTACTCTCCACATTACTGGCAGAAGATGAGGCCAGCAATTGGACAAGGGTTGGGATTACGGCAGACACACAATTGGAAAATCTCAAGCCTGCCTCCACTGATGCAACCAACGTTTTTATTTGCTCCAAATTCCAACATCAGGCAAAGAACCATTCCTTCGTTATCCCATCAACAACAGCATAATTCTTTGAAAAGTAACTGACCTTTGCTAAATTCTTCAATTTGAGGAGAGTATGATAGGAGACAGAATTATGCTGTCTGACAGGCCATTGCCATCATAGGAGACAGAATTTGGGGGAATATGATGCAAATAATCGCACGCAGAAAACTCCCGCCACTCAGCAATTGACTTGGTAAATGGCCTTCTGCAATTGCGTCTTATAAAACGCATGTCGAAATGCAGCTTATAAAGTGCAGTCTAGAATTGCGACTTGTAAATCCATTTATTAAAGCCATAGTAGCCTAGGAGATAGCTTTACTTATTTCTGTTTGACATCGCGGTCCCTATACTCTACAAAATTTCATCCAGACACCTCTACTCGTTCAAAACAACTCTTTTAAACCCTTTCGACCTCGCGTGCTCTTCAACGATCCAATGTGGATGCACATCCATGTCCATCTCATATATTTTATGCCATATCATTATTTTGTCACTTTATTTCAAAATTTTCTACTCTATTTTTTATTTTATTTTCACTTCACTCCTCCCCTCTACTCTCTATCTCTTGTTATTTCCGCCTCTATGCCGCCACTTTCACCACCCCAAACAGTCCCCCCCTCCATTAATTAACCTTCACAACCCTAAAAATTCTCTAGCTCTATTACCCCAAATACATCCAGCAATCAGTTCATTGACAAATGAAAACAAAAACAAAGAAAGAAAAAGAAGAAAATCAAATAGTTAATAGAATTAACACTTCCTAAATGTTACAAATCGCAGCCACCCCATCCGAAATAAAACATTGGAATCATGCAATTCCCACTCTTCTGTGGAGATCTCAATCCTATTTATGATGATTTCAAGATATTGTTTCAACAAGAAGACCCATAAAATCTTAATCATTTTTATGAACAGAAATTGTTTGTAAAAGAAAAAGATTATTTCAATGAAATCTCACCTGCTAGCCTATATTGTTAGCAAATTAAGTGTTGTTTATTGACTGACTTTTAGATTTGGTTTTCTTCTTTTACAAACAAAATGGAAGCAAAAATCAGAGGTGAAAGACAATTTGTTTGCGATATTGAAGAGGTGAATCTTGGGACTAAACATGAAGGGGAACTTTTTAATAATAAAGTAACAATTTCTTAACTTTTTTTCCTTTTTTTTTATTTTCTTTTATTTAATCTTTTTTAAAAATCAAATTCGTTGTTTACACTCGCTTTATACGCGTGCATTTCTCGCATTTCGTCCAACTCAACATATTCAATGCCACATAAGCTTGGTCAATGGTTAGAAGCGTTCAAAACACTAGTTTTGATCGAGTAGAGGTGTCTGGATGAAACTTTGTGGAGTACAAGGACCGGGATGTCAAACCGGAATAAGTACAAGTGTTTCCTAGGCTATTCTGCCTTTATTAAATGCAACTTATAACTCGTATCAAACAAGTCGCATTATGCAATTGTACTTATAAATTGCATTTACAAATGAAACTTATAAAGTGCATTATACGGTTGCAACTTATAAATCGTATTTAATAAATGCAATTTATACATTCTGCAATTGCTACTTATAAATCATATGCAGTAAATGCAACTTATAACTCGCATTTTGAAATTACGGCTTATAAATCGTATTCCTTAATTGCGCCTTACATATCGCACCTCAATTTCGTTGCGTAAGTGTGGATGCCAGTCATCATAGTTTGAACTTAAATCTTTCGTTGGCTCATCTCGTCGATTTGCATTTCGATCCTGGTCAATCATAGATAGTTGGCGCTTTTAGTCATAGGCTATCGCCCATTCCTGAAAGCCGCAACTCTACCCATTCCCTATTCCATTAAAGAATGAATGGGAATTGATCGCAACTACAACTTATAAATCACATTAGTAAATGCAACTTATAACTCACATTCATTAATTGCAACTAATAAATCGGCCTAGATAACACTGCTAATTGAGACTAATAAATCGCCTTTAGTAATTGCAACTTATTGTCAATTGCCACTTATAAAATGCTCAAGAATCGCGACATGATAAAATTAAATGATTATTCTACTTTAACTTTACAAGAACTTAATACATATATAAAAAAATATAACATAGTAACTCCAATTATAGCCAAAGGAGCTAGGTGAAAAATAAATATCACCCATAACATATATAATTCATCTCTCCATCCATCAAATCAAGTTCTTCACCGTGAAAGAGTGTTGATTCTTCATCTCTACTGATATCTGCTATGTAGATAAACTTTCCAAAGTCTCTTGGCATGAACTTTATATGAACTTAATTACATTTATAAAAAGATATAACTCCAAATACAAGGTCTTCAAGCTGATTAACTTTCCAAAGTCTCTTGGCAACCTGTTCATAGTTAATGAGGTTAAGAGTCTGCAGATTTACTAATTTTCTCATAGACCTTGGAAGAAACTTGTGATCCTACCATTGTCACTAAGGTTAATATATCTTAATTCCTTCAAGTGACCTATTGAAGTTGGCAACTCCTCAAAATCTGAATTGTTCAAGGCTAACACTTGAAGGGCAGTCCGGTGTACTAAACTCCCGCTATGTGTGGGGTCCGAGGAAGGGACGGATCACAAGGGTCTGTTGTACGTAGTCTTACCCTGCATTTCTGCAAGAGGCTGTTTTCACGGCTCGAACCCGTGACCTTCACATGCAGCAACTTCACTAGTTACTCCAAGGCTTCCTTTCAAGACTAACACCAGAAGGCATTTGAAATTTGACAGGTCCAACGTTAAATGAATAAGAGAAAGACCTCAACTTTTACAAAGGAAATAAAAATCTTGGGAAGTGTTTCCTAGACATATCTTAAATAAGTGGCAAACTCTTTCAGAAACCACAGAAGCATTACATTTCAGATTTAAGTATTCAGAACCACTGTGCAAGATCAAGCACAAGATTGTCTATCTTACATGACAATATTTTTCCATCAAAATCTTGTATAACGTCGAGGAAGCAAAACCTTAATAGCAACTCAACAGAGTACTGATTACCAATATCTTCCAACTTCATGTTTCTGTTTAAATCCCTGAGCAATCCAGTGGTTGACGAAGTCCTCCCTTGGAGTTTCTTGAGCTTTGGATAACATAGAGCAATAGGCAAAGCACTGTCTTAAATGTGATGGCATCTATTCATAGCTCAATCTCAATATTGATAAAATATCAGATTTCTTCTGTTCAATCTACCATTTCACATCTCTTATCCGCAACCGTTCATTCTCAGTCTTTCATATACAACAACCTTCCCAAGGTTTTCACAGCCAAAGGCACTCCTATTTCTACTAGATAAGGAAACAAATTGTCCTGCCCTCCAAATGCACATTTCAAGAATAAAGGTAAGCAGGCATCATCAGCAAGACCTCCCAAATAGTAAGGTGGGATTGTTCCAGTAATCAAAGCAGCCATCTTACTGCGCGTAGTGACAACAGTTTTACTACCTGTATAACAAATCATCAGCAACTCCCTCAAATCCGTCCACTAGTTTTGATCTTCATTCCAGACATAATCCATCACAAGTAAATACCTTTTCAACTGCATAACCTCACTCAAATGACTTTGTAATTGGTCCATATCTAGGTGGCCAAAACTTTCTCCTATTGCAGACCTCAGAATTTTCTCAATTACCTTACTCAGACTAAAATCTTCCAAAAAACTTCTCCGATCAAGATTCTGAACTATCCTATTATTGTTATAAACCAGCTTAACAAGTGTGGTATTTCCAAGCCCTCCGAGTCCAACAACAGGAATCACAGAAATATTTTTCTCATCAGGAGAATCTATCAGCTGTTTTACAATGTTTTTCTTGAGCAGTATCTCTACCAATAATATCTGAGGCCCCTGTGATTATTGGGGTAAGAGACTATCTAGTTTGGTTTGGAGATCAGGTCACCCCGTGTGATTATGGGGTAGGTATAGTTTTGAGCCAAGTAAGAAGTACAATTCAACTAAGGAAATTATATGGTGAGATATACTCAGAAATTGGTGCTTGTAAATACCAATTAAATAGCTTCATGTGTCATATGGGATATGAGAACCAACAATTTAATCAAAAAGTTAGGACCCCTCAGTGCTAATTTCTGAAAAATAATCTTGACTTGTTAAGATCAGTAACTCATTGTCATCCTCGAACACTTCTTTGCTATCCACTTTCTTCCGTTGACTCTAACACTTCTCTCCACAACCAGAAAAAAATCGACATTCCAACAAGTGGTCAAGACAAAACAGCTCAAATGGTGATTCCTTATATTATTCATGGCAATGCACCACCTCACTGTCGAAATCTGATATTAGCTTGGCCTGTACACCTTCATTACGCACCCAATGAGCATAGGGGATGATCAACATGAAACAAGATTTCCACTTCACCTCAAATAAAAGAACAAGGAGCCCAAAACAGTTTCTGACAGATTATTAAGCTTGAAAGGAAGTCAATAAACAACTGAATTCTTGCTTCTTTGCTTGTTATCCTCAGGAAGTGAGAGGGAGCTATTACAGAAACCAAGAATCCACCAAAGCTAGACAAAGGATTGCATTGAGACCTGAGATTTTTAACATGGGATCCTAATTGTAGTGCAATCTTACAGATTCTCATACTTGAGCAACAAAATCTGCATGAATATTATAAGAATGGGAAACATTACCTTCTTTAGATTCCGGATGAACTTTATAGAGATAATCGGACCACGACAGATGAATGCAAAGGAAACAAAAATACTTGACACTGGTAAGATCAAGCGGTCACCTATGACTCATGAATCCCAACCAAAGTTGGGTCGGGTATATGATACATATGTAATCATTCCGCTCTATTAGGATCCATATCATTTCAATACTACTTCTCTTATAAATAATTTGACCTTAAGGTAACTAAAAAACTACAGAACTGTCAACTACTACATACATTCTCCTTTAAGCATTCTAATGACATATGAAAGAGAGAATTAAGTAGGGAGAATTTTCTTATTGAGTCTATACAGGCCACTCTGGTAGAATCACCAGATTTAGTCATAAACCTTTACCAACTTAAAATCATTATGACCACTATAAACTTGAGAGCCCTCTTAGCACAGAGTACAACCCGAAAAAACACAAGCCTAGCCAAATCAGTTACAAGGCTGCATTATTATCCTCAATACAACCAGAATGCTTCCAACAAGTATCAGAGACCGCTCTATCAGTAATTCAGAAAACAAGTAACAAGTCAAGCTAATTGCAGCTGCATTCTAGTCACAGATAATGTTTGGCATGATGAAAAGTGCAATGAATGTATTCCTGGAAAATGTTTTCCTCAAGGACAATGTCTTCTCACAAAATGGAGAAAATGACTTCCGGCACTCATAGGTGGAAGTCATTTCCCTCTACAAATATCTCAAAATCTTATTCAATCTCACTTGTATCAATCAAAAGTTAGACATTGTTGTCATCCTTTAATACACAAAAATTTCACGAAAGCATAATCTTCATACCGTATCCTACACCTTGACAGTTACCAGACACCAACTGTTTTCATACCCAACCAAACACTCGAAAATCACCCAAAAAGTGATTTCACAACGGAAAACATTTTCCTCCATATCAGAAGCACAAGAATCTCAAATTGTAATCTTATCATAGCAGTTCAATGTATAGAAATAATAGCACAGCAGAATTATGGCTGCATTTTACGTACAAGATGCAGGTATAAGTGCGGTAAAAGAGTTAACTGAGAGGAAATACATTACAGTGTTCTTATCATATCCAAAGCTATCTATTTTAGCGCAGAAATCGGCAAGAAATGAATCATTTGGCCGAACAGCAATATTCACAGATTAGGAGCTAAGCGGAAGCTGCAAAGAGCTGAACACATTGGTATCTGAAGCTTAAGCCCTATCAAGCCACTGTGACCTCAGATTATTAGGCTCCTCTGGAAACCACATTCATCAAGCAAGAACAGTGAAGAACAATTAATTGAACTGCTGTAAATGATATTTATCCAGATATATACAAAATCTGTGAGAACCAAGCAACAATTCACAAAATGAAAACCAAAAAGAACAATTAAAAGGAAAGAAAGACTATCCACAAATGACCCCACATATTGATAGGAACAAACCACAACATGATGGACCCTATTTTGCTGTACAAATACCACTCAACCAACATGAAAAGGACCAATATCGCCACTTCGAATAGAGCCAGCAACCTCATCTGCAATAGTCAAGCAAGAGACTACCCAACCACTCAATGCCACCCACACCATCTTAGCCACCCACAGTGTCATACTCCATGGAACTGCCATCCTCAACCTCCTCCTTCTCTTTCCAAGATTCAACAATCAATGCAAACTCAGACGAGATATTGCAAGTGGCCTTGCTGCCACGAACGACCGAGATTCAGCACTTTATTGCTCCAATTCGCGTAGGAAAAAAAAAATGTAAACCCAAAAAAGCATTCACTTTTCTACACCAAATCCATTTCAAGATCAACCCTACTCCTCAGTTTATGCTATAAAATTGATCAGATTAGGAGAAACAAATTACCCCTTGAATTTCAATAAAGTTGACCTTTTGTTGAAATCAGTCCCAAAAAAGATCCAAAATTTATTCTTGGGAAAGACCAACCACTTGAACCCCACCAAACTTTTGAATTGATTTTTGCTGCAAAAAAGCTACTAATAAATTCACACACATATATTATATAGGACAAAAGTAATTGTGTGAAAGTACTTAATTTCAAATAAAGGATATTCTTTAATGACTTACCATTTTAGGAATGATTTGTACAAGAACCTTCGATATATAGTGGTAGAAGGACAGAACCATTTTGTAATTTGGAAGGTACTGCTGTCGGCAAAGGATAGAAGCCACCAAGGCACGCACCTGTGTCAGTGTGTGGGACCCATATAGCTAAATTTTCAATCTGGCCCATGTACTTCTCAAATTATAATCTACAGTAAGTTGAAAGATTACTGTAGTTAGTACTAGCAAGGGGTCGTTTGGTTTGAATACAACTTATGCCGGAATAAGTTATAATAAGTTATGCTGGTATTAGTTATGTTGAGATTGTTTTTTATTTATTGTTTGATATATTGTATTAAATATGATAATTACATAATTTGTAAGAAGACCAGTGCTAATTACCCGCCCTCTATAAGGTATAAGTTATCTCGGTATTAATTTTAACCTGGGATAACTTATACCTGGTTTACTAACCAAACGAAATATTAAGGTGGTATTTAATTTTTATACCAGCACTATACTCTCTTATACGTCATACCAAACGACCCTAAGTGATCGGACAAAATAATGAGATTCTTTCACCAAAATATGCACTTTTAGCTATAATTTATATGTAATAGTCTCTATGTCTATGTCATGTGCCTCGCACGTGTAGGCCCTACTACTATTATTGGATTTATATGTAAAGTTAACATACTTTTAACATAAAGACATACTTTAAAAATAATTACCTATATAACTTATAAGTAAAAATCAAAGCATATAGATAGTGCAAGTTCTAGTTTTTGATTTAAAAAAAATGGTTTTGATCAGCATATAGATACATTTTTTAGTTACTATATTATAATCGCTAGGAAAACATCAACTTGATAACAATATTATCTAATAATATTGTCTCTAATAAATATCGTGATAATTTAGTTGCATTCTCCAAAAGAGAAAAATTATTTTAGAATGCAGTTTAATAGATGACAATTGACAACCATTGGCGGCAGGGGCGGATTTACCCCGCAAGGGTGTTCACCCGAACACCCTTCGCCGAAAAATTATACTGTATATATAAGGCAAAATCTGTTTTTTATCTCTATATATTAAGTTTTGAACATCCTTAATATAATCCAAAAGTGTAATTTAGTGGTCAAGGGGGTTCAAAATCTACATAAGGTCATGGGTTCAATTCCCACTAGCTACAAAAAAAAAAATTTGAACCCCCTTCATAGAGATCCTGCCTCCACCACTGATTGGCGGTGATAAGCCTATGCCCAATGTCAAGTCCAATCTAATAAATTGGGAGTGTTTAGGACGTTCCCTAATTTTTCCTTCTTATATGTCTCAAACATTTGCTAGTGCAAAAAACAAAAAAAAGCACACTATTCAAAAATGAATGGAAAAGGTTCTCATGTTTTTCTAGCCTTTGAGAGCGAGGAATGATAGTAAGCCACCTTGCATAATTGGGAGAAATTCAAAAATAGTTAGATTTATAAGTGGTCATTCAAAAATAGCCACAATTTTAAAAGTAATTAAAATTTAGCCATTTTTTATGTAAAGATAAATCTGAACGATAACACTGTTAAAAACCAGAAAAATACTCCAGTATATATTATACTGGAGTTCCAGTATAATATGTTGGAAGTTTATACACAGATGCACCGATCTCCAGTATTTATGATGGACCTTTCCTTGTTGCAACAAAATAGTGGCTATTTTTCAATGACTTTGCAAACACTGACTATTTTTGAATGACCAGTCTGAAAATTAACTAGCCCGTGCTATTTTTACTGCATAATTTAGACGAAATACCCAATTAAGAATGGATGTGGATTTAGTCAGTACTTTAGATGCAGAACATGAATTTATATTTAAAAAAATTATTTAAATTGCAATAAATAATAAATATGATCCCATAATTTTAGAAATATTGCGAGTCCATTGAGTTTAAATTAAAAATCTGCCTTTATCTCAATAATCGCGCAATACTATGTCCGTAATTTGTATACTTCATAGCTATGTGTGTGTTTCTCGAGTCTTTGCACATATAAGTTATAAATACTTGATGTATTATGGAAATTAATATCCAGACTTATCAACAATGTCATGTTCAAAAAGCTTTAGAAAAGGCATAATACATAACTGGACCTTTAAACTTGGTGTTTTTGTCACTTGGACACCTAAACATAGAGTTGTTTCTCTCATGCCCTTCAACTAAACCACATCTGTGCCAATTAGACACTTTGTAGTGACATGATTGAGTGCGTGTGTGAACATGAGAAAAAGGTTGTTCATTATTTTTATATTCTAATATATTATTTCAGTTAAAGCTAACTTTTACCCTACATTCTATTTCTCTTCTTCTTCTCGTGAACCCATCATTTTTCCTTCTAGTTTTTTTTAAAAGAAAATTTAGTGTACATGGATTTGACTATTCTCATTTGGCATGTTTGTTCTCTTTATACGACACTTGTAAGCTATACCAACTTAGACGAGGAATAGAGAGAATAGCGTGCGAAATCGAAACAAGAAGAAGTGAGATGAAGTTGAACGGAGGAAATTTTCAGTGAGCTTTTTAGGGCACTAAGTCGCCAGAGCCGACGGTTAGGTTTTCCATTTTCTGAAAATGAGTTTCAATTTGTTTTGGGGGTTAATTCTATAAGGTGGAATATTTTAAGGTGTTAGAGGCAACTGTAATATATGCATTTAATTTTTATAAAAGTTTTTCTCGGATGGTCTACACAGTGTCTAATTGGCACAGATGTGGTTTAGTTGAAGGGCCTGATAGGAACAACTCTATGTTTAAGTGTCCAAGTGACAAAAAAGACCAAGTTTAAGGATCCGGTTATGTATTCTGCCTTTAGAGAAATTTAGGGGAGTGTAATTACATGAATTTTCGTATATTTTTATGTTATTATATTACGTGTATCCGAGTCATAGGATGGTAAAAAACAATCTTATAATTGTGGTAGATATTTTAAGTTTTTATATACTTTGTGTCACGACCCAAAATCTACCAGTCGTGATGGCACCTAACCCAACCCACTAGGTAAGCCAATTAATAATATCCAGTTCCAATAATATTTAAACAAAGGAGTTATCTGAATCTTATACAATTCCCAAGGACTAGTAGTACAAATCATGAGCTTCTAAGAATAGAGTTTACAAAGCTGATATGAAGTAAATACATCTTTTGTTTGAAAAGTACATAAACAGAGTTTTATAATCTGAGACTACCATGAATAAGAGGCAGCTACAACAGGGACACATGTACACCTTCGAATCCAGCTCCCGCAATGTACGGAAGTGTCATATGAGTACAACCGACCCCATGTACTCAATAAGTAACAAACTTAAACTTAGGTTGAAAGCAATGACGAGCTGGAATATAGGTCGGGTCTAACACCAATAACCAATAGCAGTTCATAACAGTTTAAAGCAAGTAAATAAATAAGTAGCTCAAAGATAAAATGCTCAGCCTTTTCATAGTTTTCCGAAACAGTTCTGCTTTTCAAGTATATTAGTGAAAATTCAAATCCTTTACCGAAATCGTCAAAAATAAGAGTAAGTTTGAAAACTGTAACTTTTTCCCAAAAACTTTTCATCAGGTAAATGTTTCATTTTCAGATAGCACTAGGAAAGTACATCTTTATGCCTACATGTCAAGATACAGGTAAAAATTATGAATGTCACCAAAATCGGGCAGCAAAAGGAAAAATGCATCTCTGTGCATGTATCTCAAGTACGTATGTCAAATGCAATGCATCTCAGTAATGAACTCATGCACTCACACTCTCAGAGTACTCAACCTCACTGTCTCGCATTATCTCTTACTGTGCCCAATACTCAGCACATTCAATCACTCAGCATTGTACAGTACTCGTTGCGGCGTGCAACTCGATCCACACACACACACACACACACACACATATATATATATATATATATACACACACACATACACACACACATAGTCGACTGCGCTCATTGGGGGTGTGCAGACTCCGGAGGGGCTCCTTCAGCCCAAGCGCTATAATCTGCACGGACAACTCACGTACTGCACAAACAACTCGCGTGCCGCACAGAAAACTCACGTGCTATAGTATCAATATCAAAATCCGCACGGACTACTCACGTGCTATAATATCAATGTCAGAACCCGCGCGGACAACTCACGTGTTATAATATCAATATTAGAATCCGCATGGACAACTCACATGCTGCACGAACAACTCACGTGCTATACTATCAATAACCTCACAATTAAGTTGTCGGCCTCACTCAGTCATCAATCTCTCCAGTCTCACTCTGGGCTCACAATGTCATAAAGCTAGCCCGACAACAATAATATGATGTATCAATAAATAACAACTGAGACTGAGATATGATATGAATGCATGAATATGACTGAGTACAAAATAGCAATGAAATCAGTGAAATGACAGCAAGAAACGACCACTATGGGTCCTAATAGTATCGGCATAAAGCCTAAACATGATATCTAGTATGATTGATAACTCAATTACTTTGTCACATGGTGAAAATATAGATATCAACAAAGTAGGACTACTATACTGTGCCATGAAAACAACGGAGTCACAATTCATAGGGTGAACGCTCACACGCCTGTCACCTAGCATGTGCGTCACCTCAATACCAATCATACAACACATAATTCAGGGTTTCATATCCTCAGCACTAAGTTTAAAAGAGTTTCTTATCTTGAAAAAGCCAATTCCAACACCGAGCAAGGCAAGCGATGCTCCAAAAATGCTATCACGCGCGTAGCGACCTCCGAACGGCTCAAAACTAGCCAAAAACAACTCAAATACATCAGATAAAGCCCAAGGAATCAATTACAATTGATAAAGATCGAATCCTAAATCAAATCCCAAATCCGATCAAAAATCACACCCGGGGCCCGCACCTCGAAACCCAACAAAGCTCACAAAATCCGATAACCCATTCAATTACGAGTCCAACCATACTAGTTTCACTGAATTCCGACTCCGATGCGATGTTCAAA